AATGAATTGGTGTTTTGACAAGTTTCCGAGAATCCATTCTGTTAACGTTCCGAAAAATATAGTTCGTCGGAATATTTTGAGAAGTTTCCGACAAAGTCCATTGTTTCTCGGTAGTTCCTCGGAACGGCAAAGCAAATTCACCGATGACTCATGTTCTCGGAAACAATCCTCGGAGTTGACACTCTTTTCTTGTAGTGATACCATCTCACAATCCCTTCATCAATCTCAGTCCTCCGACACATGACACAAGTCTCATGCTCCATACAAGTCAAAAACCTCTTCAACCTCGAAGCTTTCTTAAGTATCACCTCATCAAGCTCTCTAACAATCACCTTCTGCTGCGGCTGCCCCGCACTGAACTCCACTAGGTAAGAGTGCGATATATTGAGCACTTCAAGATTCGGTAACCCGTCGAGTATTTTGATCAGTGCTTCTCTCTTTATCGCCGAGCATCTAAGGCTCAACGTTTTGAGGTTAGGGAGGCAACTGATGATGGTGTCTGCAAAGACGATCTCGAACGGACCCATGATCTTTAACTCCTTGAAGTTCTTGCAGTTCTTGGCGATCTCTGTTAAAAGGTAGAGCGGATTTGCGATTCTAGGCATTGTCAGTGACTCAAGATTTTTCCATAACCTTATGGCTTTACATATCCCAGTCTTCTTTATTCTGTTCCAAGCTGGTAAGACGATTCGTCTCAGCCCTGGACACCTTTCCGCGGTGTAGGTAAGCTGATCATCACTCAAGAACAAGTTGAAATGGAAAACCAATGTCCTCGTGTTCCCTCCGCTAAGCTTCATGGAGAATTTGAGGATCCGAGTCAGGGCCACATCAGAGCGACGTTCGACGTAGACATAAGGCTCCATAGGGGTCTTGATGAAAGTAGATCTCATGTGTGAGAGATCAAGAGTCTTCCACAGGATGGGATCGCAACAAGCGGTTCTCCATGCTTTACAGACACGAGTCAGATGAGCTAGTTCGAAGATGGTGAACTTGTGGAAAATCCTGACTAAGATGTCTGTGTCCAACTCTACCCTTCTCCTCAGAGTACGACTCTCATACTCGTCCTCCATCTATCTACTTCTTGATTTATAACGTACGCCCTAAGCAAGCAGAAGAACGTTTAAATCAAACGTTTCTTACTTGTCTATGAGATTTGGAATCAATGCTATTAGAAACGAAACGATTTACACAGAAGAAGTATGTAGACCCTTTTATATGTATAAAAGCTATAAGGATTCCTCGTTAAACAAGGAAGTGGATATCAAACATAAAAGTAACACTGAACCTAAACAAGCTTTACATATATAGGAGATGCGTGTGATAATATTCCAAAACTGAATTAACATACAAGAAAAAAGGAAATCTCTTTTTTTTGTCAAAGAAAAAAAGGAAATTACATATCACAAAGAATCCACACGCAATATTTCGTAAAATCATGATAAATAGCGGTTAAAAAAATCGGTTTGATTTGGTTTGATATATCTTGGATTTTGATTCTTTTGGTTTGAGAGAGTTTTCGGACAAAACCGCGTTCTCTCTCTCAAAATAAAACCCCTTTTCCTTATCCTTGAGACCGAGATTTCACATTATTGGAGTTGACTTATTAAAAAGTAATTAAATCCGACGGTAGACAACACTACTGAGTAATCTAACGGTGGATGTGTAACTTCGGTAGGTGGGTGATGATGATATGAACGGCGGCGATGCGTGTAGAAGACGAGAGAGATTGATAAAAGAGAGAGAACTTTTATATTTTTTCTTGTTCGTCTTCTGCTTTCCTATCTCTTTCCCCAGACGGGCCGACCATTAAAAGAGTCTCTCTCTCGCTGTCTCTCTCTCGCACTTCTCCATCCAAAAGACTTCAGGTTAAACTAAAACCCTTTTCATTTGCTACACTCACTCTCCCTTTCTCTGTTTTTTTCTTCTTTCAATTTTTGTGTTGTGGGTTTTGTGTTTCACTGAAGAAAGCTTCCGTCTTTCTGCTGTGTTAACTTAGGTGGAGTTTTCTATTTCTCACAGGTCTTGTGGTGGTTTCATTTTGAGTTTTAGGAATCTGGGTACTCTTCATTTTGCTTGTATTGATTTAAGAGGAAAAAAAAAATCTGACTTTGAGATTAGGGTTGTGTGTATTCCCGTATCGATTTGTTCAAAATGAGTACTTGGTAGTGGAAGAGTCTTTACCATTTTGGTTACCACTAAGAATGCTTTGGAGATAAGAACCAAAAGTTCAAGCTCTTCTTCTGCTTTTTTTATGTGCCTTGGCTCTTTCTACAAACGGGTTAAAGAGGATGAGTAGCTTAAGTTTCTCTGTATATCCAAAATGATAACTCTTTTACTGGCTGATACCCTTCATAACTAGTCATAGATTCAAACAACTGTTTTCTTTTCTAGTTTTAGATTTGGTTTAAGTGTAAGTGAAAGGTTACACAAAGCTTTTTGATTGTCTTGTAGCCTAGTTGCTTCTTAATGATACTTGTATTCTCTTTGAACATAATATATACCCAACTTTATCTTTTATTTTGGTCTTACCCTATATAGATCTAGAACTAATGACTTACCATTACTCAATGCAGTCTCCATCTCTGCATTATGGCTAGGCTCTTGGCTAATTCTACATCCCGTCTTTTACCTGGTCCCGGAAGACCTTTTCAGTCAGAAGAATACAGAAACCCAAGAAGATGCGTGAAGATGATGTACACTTCTCAAACATCGGTTTTGAGTATCCAGAGCTTCTCAGGGTTAAGGACTTCCAATGCACTGGATCTTATGGCAAGGCCTGGTCATGATTCCTTTGTCAAGAAGGTTAACTATTCAATCTCATCCCGTAAAGGAAGAGCTAGCAGATGTGTAACAAAAGCTATGTTTGAGCGGTTTACCGAGAAAGCTATCAAGGTCATTATGCTGTCTCAAGAGGAAGCTCGGAGACTTGGCCATAACTTTGTTGGCACTGAGCAAATACTGTTGGGGCTGATTGGGGAAGGGACTGGAATCGCAGCAAAGGTTCTTAAATCCATGGGGATCAATCTTAAAGATTCTCGTGTGGAAGTGGAAAAGATCATTGGAAGAGGCAGTGGGTTTGTGGCAGTGGAGATCCCATTTACTCCTCGTGCAAAGCGTGTCCTGGAGTTGTCACTAGAAGAAGCTAGACAACTTGGTAAATGATTCATCCCATTTGTTGTGCATTAATACAATTAGCTTTCTTGACTAATGATCAAATTTGACATTTTTTGGTTGTTTTGAACTCTAGGGCATAACTACATTGGGTCAGAGCATCTTCTGCTTGGTCTTCTTCGTGAAGGGGAAGGTGTTGCAGCTCGTGTCCTGGAGAACTTGGGTGTAGATCCTAGTAACGTCCGGACGCAGGTAAATGCATAAATTATGAATTCTCACAATTATTTCTATGTTCTAGGAGACAGTTTCTTGATTTATGATGTTTTGAGTATATTTTATTCAGGTTATTCGTATGGTCGGAGAGAACAATGAAGTGACAGCAAGTGTAGGTGGGGGATCTAGCGGAAACAGCAAAATGCCAACGCTAGAGGAGTATGGGACCAACTTAACCAAACTAGCAGAAGAGGTAATAAAAATGGCTTACTCATCTTCAAGTAGGTAATTTCAGGACTGAAATTTGTTTGTATCACTTTGTGTCTCAGGGTAAACTTGATCCTGTCGTTGGAAGGCAGCCACAGATCGAAAGAGTGGTCCAGATCTTGGCTCGGAGAACCAAGAACAACCCTTGTCTTATTGGAGAACCTGGAGTTGGTAAGACAGCAATAGCTGAAGGACTCGCACAGAGAATAGCCAGTGGAGATGTTCCTGAAACAATTGAGGGGAAGACGGTAAACATTCTCCCATTTTATATATCAATATATGTTTTAAAGTATTTACCTCTTACATTTTGTTTGTCCAGGTTATAACCCTTGATATGGGTCTTCTTGTGGCTGGAACAAAGTACCGTGGAGAATTCGAGGAAAGATTGAAGAAGCTTATGGAGGAGATCAGACAAAGTGATGACATCATCTTGTTTATTGATGAAGTGCACACGTTGATCGGTGCAGGAGCCGCAGAAGGTGCCATTGATGCTGCAAATATCTTAAAGCCAGCTCTTGCAAGAGGTGAATTGCAGGTAAGTTTTCGCAATTCTTTCTATCCTTCAAATTGCAAGCTAATAGAACCAGAAACTCAAGTTTTTATTTTATTTTTACGGTTGTTGTAGTGTATTGGTGCAACAACATTGGATGAGTACAGGAAGCACATTGAGAAAGATCCTGCATTGGAGAGACGTTTCCAGCCTGTCAAAGTACCTGAACCAACTGTAGACGAAGCTATACAGATCCTGCACGGTCTGCGTGAGCGATATGAGATCCACCATAAGCTTAGGTACACTGATGAAGCTTTGGTTGCTGCTGCTCAACTGTCACATCAGTACATCAGGTACTTGTCTTCCACCAACACACAACATTCTGACAATGTCTTAGACAAGTTGGAACATTTTCTCAACCTACTTTCTTCTCTTAAATGAACAGTGATCGGTTTCTTCCCGACAAAGCTATTGACTTGATTGATGAAGCTGGATCTCGGGTTAGGCTACGTCACGCTCAGGTTTGTGTTTGAATCTTTCTTTTATTATCAGAAACTTGTCCCTTGTATCTGTTAGAGCTGATTGAAAATGGAACTTGCGTGTTTTAGGTACCTGAGGAAGCTAGAGAGCTTGAAAGGCAACTCAGACAGATCACTAAGGAGAAGAATGAAGCTGTGCGAGGCCAAGACTTTGAGAAGGTATCGTCTTCGAGTTTTTTCTTAATGTAAAATAAATCCAAGTTTAGTGTTTACAACTCTGAATTATTCTCCTGCAGGCTGGTGCTCACCGTGACCGGGAAATAGAGCTTAGAGCCGAGATAGCTGCTGTTTTAGCCAAAGGCAAAGAAGTGAACAAAGCTGAGACCGAAGCAGGCGAAGAAGGGGGACCTACTGTCACTGAATCCGACATCCAACACATTGTCTCCACTTGGACAGGAATCCCGGTAGAGAAAGTCTCGTCTGATGAATCTAGTCGTCTTCTCAAGATGGAGCAGACACTTCACACAAGAGTCATTGGCCAAGACGAAGCCGTCAAAGCCATTAGCAGGGCCATTAGACGTGCACGTGTTGGACTCAAGAACCCGAACAGGCCAATAGCAAGTTTCATCTTCTCTGGTCCAACCGGTGTGGGAAAATCAGAACTTGCCAAAGCCTTAGCTGCTTACTACTTCGGTTCAGAAGAAGCAATGATCCGTCTCGACATGAGTGAGTTCATGGAAAGACACACGGTTTCCAAACTCATTGGTTCTCCTCCTGGTTACGTAGGATATACAGAGGGAGGTCAGCTAACTGAAGCTGTTCGACGCAGGCCCTACACACTTGTACTCTTCGACGAAATCGAGAAAGCTCATCCTGATGTTTTCAACATGATGCTTCAGATCCTAGAAGATGGGAGATTAACTGACAGCAAAGGAAGAACAGTTGATTTCAAGAACACGCTTCTGATCATGACATCAAACGTAGGAAGCAGTGTGATTGAAAAAGGTGGTAGAAGAATAGGGTTTGATCTTGACTACGACGAGAAAGACAGCAGCTACAACAGAATCAAGAGCTTAGTGACTGAGGAACTGAAACAGTATTTCAGGCCGGAGTTCTTGAACAGGTTGGATGAGATGATTGTGTTCAGACAGCTGACGAAGCTGGAAGTGAAGGAGATTGCTGATATAATGCTTAAAGAAGTGGTGGTGAGGCTTAAGGACAAGGAGATTGAGCTTCAAGTGACTGAGAGGTTTAAGGAGAGAGTTGTGGATGAAGGGTTTGACCCGAGTTACGGTGCGAGGCCGCTAAGAAGAGCGATTATGAGGCTGTTGGAAGATAGCATGGCGGAGAAGATGCTCTCAAGGGAGATTAAAGATGGAGATTCTGTGATTGTTGATGTTGATACTGAAGGAAGTGTGGTTGTGTTGAATGGTAAGAATGGAGGGGGTGACGGTTTTGTTGCTGAAGAAGCCATGGAGGATCCTATTCCTGTGTTGTAGAAAGGAAGATAGATGAGGGTTCTAGA